TCCAAGCTACACAGGAAGTGCCAGTGTATTGCACTGCAGAGATTAACACTGGACAGTGTGGTACCCTGTTGTTGCTGGAGTCTCAGAAAGAATATAGTTTTGATGACATGGCACCCTCTTTGGGCTAATTAGGCATCGTTAGCTTTGTATCACCAGGCCCCACTGTGCTGCATATACTCGTATCTCTGTTATGTGAGGAATGCTTAAGAATTGCAAGATCTCCATGGTGCTGAATCCAATAACTTTTTGGATCATTCATACTGGTGAGAGTAACTGAGTTTATGGAAGCAGAAAGTAGCAAGAAGTTGCCAAGTTCTAGGAACTAGAAGGTTTTTGGATATTATTGCACTGATACAGTTCTCCCTATCTGTTTCTGATCTCTTTCTTTTCCTAAAAGTATTATAACCATGGAAATTTATTTATGAAAGCATTTTGCAGCAAGTGCCCTAAAGTGAAGATTATTTTCATTTAAATTATTAGGAAGAAAACCCCAAACCATCAGTGGCATTTGCAATGGGTTGCACCAGGACACCTATTCTATAAGTTACCAGACTTACTGTAAGCAAGAATAAGCCTGAAAGTACCTACATGAAAATTAAACTTGGTTCTTCTAATGCCATGAAAAGCCTACTCTGAGCCCTGGAATCAATTTTGTAATTTCACTTATCCATCAAAATGCCTTTTTAAAATAGCTGTATACTGTCCTACAGTAATTATAGGGTCACATTTCCTTCTTCTTTCTCCTCACCCAACTCTCTCCAGTAAGGAACCATTTGTACAACTTGATCATTGGTTTTTGAGAATGTTAATGAGAATGTTATTGATTTAATCTAAAAATCAATTGAGTTTCACTGTCGTCAGAATATTGTACATCCTCTTGTATCGAAATCCTCAGAGTCTTAGGGGAAAAAGCCTTTGAAGTGAAATGTAAAAAGAATTTTAATGTTTTATGCAGAAAGACAAAATTTTGGAGGAATGAGAAAGAGGAGACAGAAACAAGTACAATGTGCTTTTTCCAGTGTCTCTGATGCCAAATATGTTCAGCAGTACACAAATTGACTTTCCTTCTCCCCTTTGTATCACTCCATTGATTTCAGCATATGATGACTTGTATTCTCCTTGGCTTTGAAGATATCTGCAAAATCAAAGAAGCACTTCTAATTTATTCTTTCTGGCTATGTCTTTGAATGAATAAGTGGATGGTGAAGAAGTAAGTGATGCAGTGAACCAAGTTGGAGTGTTCTGAAGGATTTCAGAATTTCAAAATATACTTTGCATGTTACTTATGATTTTATAAGTAATTTTGCTGTTTGCTCTATGCAAGTGCAAAACTACTGAATAAATTCTTGAAAAAGGACAAATTGGTGGTTCTGTGTTTGAAAAGAAATAAAATGCATAGATATTGCTACTAAAGGTGTTCCATGATCTCTTCTGTACACAGGATTAACTCTTGATTTAATATTTCTATATAGTGTTCATCGCAGGGTACAGGGCCTGTAGATGTCAAGTTTCTCAATTAGTCTGTTAGTCTGTGGCTTGTATTTAAATAAATTAATATGTTTTAAGACTGTCAGCTAAGAATATCTTGTATATTCTTAATCAAAACGTTCAATCTGCTAAAGATATCTATCAGTTCTCTCCATTTGATTTTGGGAAGCTACTATATTGTGAGTGGCTAGCCAAAAAAAAATCCAATTGATAGCAGCAGAGATATGAGAGATTAAGTAACTAGGTGCTCATTCCCTACCTATGAGTCCATAGATTTTTGTATACTGTAAAATAATTTTGTGATATCTTTCAAAAATACCATGTGTATAATGCAACTATGTTATTCTCCATAACGTATATGCTATGCTACTTGTAAATGTTTGCTTTATAATAGTATTTAATTCCAGGATGTGCTGTAAACTGACTTCTCTTTTGTTTTGTATCGGTAAGCAAAAGACAAATACCTCAAGAAAGATTGTGTAATACCAGCTTTCACTGAGCCTCCAGACCTGCTGAGCAAAAATCTCGAAATTGCCAAATTGTGCTTCATCGTACTTCCAAGCTGACAATGTCCAGAATGACTGATAGATGATGGAACTAGAGGGACACCTTTTTTGGATAAGCTTGAGCAGATAGGGTTAGGATTAAGACAGTTCCCAACAGTATCCTTTTTTCTCATTGTTAATGCTGAAGTAGATCTCCTCAGCTTGATATGATGCTGATTGTCTGCACATATTGCCCAATGCTATTCCAACCATGCTCAAACAATTTGCTGATGGGTCAGAGCAGAGTGATGTTAATGCACAGCCTCGGAATCCTCTCTATGTTTTAGCCATATTTTTACTGTTTTGCATGTTTTTGCATGTATATTTTTTCCACAAATAAACAAATGTCTTATCTTTAGCCTCCAGGTGCTCCCATAGTATTAGTAGTACAGACCACTTGGATTCCTACATAGTGTGCACACTGTAGATGTGTATGTGTATCTATATATCAGTCTAAAATATAGTCCAGCTGTCATGTACAAACAAAAGCATTGTGAGGTAGTGAACCCTACTGATAAATCTTGAGTTTTTTTAGAGAAGTTGGCTTCTTTTTTTTCCATTGTGTGATGTTTCTGATAATTGTCTTATATCTAAATACTCTCATGCTCAGCTAGTAATGCTGGAGCTTTCATTTTAGGTGGTTTGTATTTAAAGAATTTCCAAATTTTGTCTTCTCTTAAATGCACTGGAAAAAAATAGGTATTTTTTGTAGTTTCTGTATGAAGAGGTTTTTATTTTATGTTCTACTAGTTGTTTATTTTTCTTCTACAGTGCTTTAGCATCTGTCATTCCTTGAAGTACAGGCAATGATAAACTCCCTGTCCATGTTAATGGGAGTTGAGAATGCTTTGCTTCTCTCAGGATTGGTGCCCTATTACCAGAACAATGTATTGATTTGGTCAACAGCCAATGTGAGATGCATGACAGAAATGAGAAATTGAACTTTCTGAATGTGAAGTAAATCGTGCTGCTGCTGATACATAAATGGTTTAGGAAAAAGCAATCAATCAGATTCTCCATTCTGGTAGCAATGCTACGTACAATTTAATATATAGTAAAATAACACTTATTTTACTGTCTAAATCAAATAGTGTTTTGTGCTAAACTCAGATTCTTGCAAAATGACTTGCAACATGTTTGGTTTTAGTATGCTTTACTTTCTACATTACTGACATGTGACCTGATAATTTATAAATATTCAGCTGATGTTCATCAGTTCTGCCTTTTTCTTGTTAAGAACCACAGATTATTCTTTCTAGACTGCTTATTGCTATTTTAAATTGGTCTTTAAATACTTTTAACTTTTAAGTAGAATTGTTTTGAGTCCCAAATACCTACAGATTGAGTTTACTATAGCCACAGATAATTTGACTTTAATATCTGTAAAACATCCTCTAGAAACATGAATAAGCCCATTCTCTCTTCTGGCAGATGTTTTGCAGATATCAGACTTATATCCAATTATATTTGGGTGCTTTAGCAGTACACAATAGCAGTCATTTGCAGATGACTATATTCTTTCCTCTCCTTCTCCATGTTATGAAATTAATGGGCTAATTTATCCTTCTTGGAAAGAGAGAGAAGTATTTTAATGAAAGTTTAAAGAGACTTCCTGAAATTCTCCTTATTGATAAGTGCTAACAAGTCTTGTCATTCAGTGTCAAAATCTCAGCTTAGCATTTCCCCAGCGTAAGTACCTTAAACAGCAGAGAGATCTCCAGATTCTTCTCAAAGCAGCACAGAGCTGTGTATTTTGGAATCTTCAGTTTGAACTTTTGGGTGAGATTTTGAAAAGAGTTTAGCTATCCTCAAGAAGTAGTTGTCAATATTTGCTTAGTATTAAGGCTGTGAGAATACAGGGAGAAGCTTAGCCACATCTGCCTGGTAGATGGGGAATGCTGGTGTGTTGGGCTGTCTGCTGGAACATAAGTTCCTGGAGTTCTTTCCTGCATGGACCTGGTAGGATTAGATGGTTCAAGGCCAAACCATGTATAGGCAGTTGAGCATAAAAGTTCTACTAGCAGATGTTCGAAAAAATAAAGAGCTATTTGGACTTTTTAAAGACATATTTTCTCTTACATTAAAAAGTGGGTTTTTTTTCTTGCTGTAACTTAATTTAGCATTTATTTTGTCAGAAAGGAAAATAAAAGATTGATTTATTAGTTATGAAGTTTAACTGTTAAATCACCTCAAAATTTAATTAATTACCTTGATTAATTCCACTGAGTTCAGTAAATGGTATTGGAATATGGAATTTGGTGTTGGAGGGCAGGGTAGATTTGAGGTAGAACATCAGAAAATTCATCAGTAGTATCACAAAGTAAGAGTGAACTCTCACAAGGTATGTAATATTATTCTTTCTAAACTCTCTAAGGATATTCTTTTATATTTTTCATAACATATACTTGCTTTTACTTTTCAAGGTTAGACAATTTATTAATTTTTCTTTATTTTATTTTAGATTTTATTTTATTTTTCTCTCTGAAAGCCTAGAGTGAGACTTGACAAATATGAAGTGGTGATAGACAAGGAAACATAAGTAAGCTGTCTACCTTTTTTCTAACCAGAAATGTAAATGATGTCATGACAACCTGATGAATTTCAGATCTACAGAATCTGCACGTATTCCTTATACCATGTGACCCTTGGAAAAATTATTAAAGAAAGTACTGCACTGAATGAAGGATCTGTGCTTCACAAATACTGAAATAAATTTGTTCCCTTTAAATGTCTTATTGAAGTGGGTCTGTCTTGCCGTGAACACAGTCATTAATGATCTCCCATGTACCATTGATCATCCTGGAAAAATACCTTTTAAAGCAAATGAAGCAGATCTAGCGGTACTTAAAAAATCTCGTATCCTGCAGAGAGTAGAAACAACTTGTCAACTGCCAGTGCCTCAGTGCTGTGCTAGCAGTAACTTCGCTTTCTGTCAAACAACTGCTTCTCCATTGGGAGAAGGGTCCTATGTACATCAGGAAAAGGGCAGAGAGCCTTTTTCCATGCAGTATTTGGGAACGTGACAACAGCTTTTGTTATCAGCGCATTCAGGTGATAAGTAACAACTTGCAAAAACAAAGTCCATTTGCTGGAATACAGCTTTTACAGGTATCCACTGGAGAATCAGAAGATGGAGCCAGACAGGATGACACATTCACACCCACAACCCAGGCAAGAGGAGAGGAATTACCAAGGTGTTACATTAACAGCATCAGAGACAGAACTTTTACCACAAGAAGTAATGAATGTAAAAAAAAGCTGAAGATTATAGTATATTGTCAAAGGTTTTCAAGTTGTATTTCACAGTTGAAGTCTATTAGTTCAGAAACTATGGTAATCTCTCTCAATTATGTGGCTAAGTACAAGTAGTCCTAATTTCTTAAAACTTTAAATACTTAGGAGTGCCTCAGTATTTCAGGTCATTTTGGAAGGAAGGAAACTTGTGTTGTATTCTTCCATCGTGTACCTTTTGCTGTCTTTATATTGTGTAGGAAATATTTGAAGAAATGTGAGATAGAGAGAGAGGCTGTCATGTAATTAGGTAGTCTCAGAAATTCATAATTAAGCAGCAAAGTACATTATTTCCTCATGAGAATAAAACAATTCCAATCTCCTGGGTAAATCTGTAATTTGATTCTTTTGAAATAATTTAACTGATACTATAGAATAATTTTAAATCAATTCTAACAGTCTTGGCTGAACTAAGGATGCCTTGCTTAGCCACTGGAATTCATGCTAAAACTATTCTTATCTCTAAATACAGCATGTCTTGGTCAACATGCAACAGTTTTGTGCTGTAAATTTAATCTGAGACAATTCTATGTGGGATGCTAAAGGTTTTTCTATGCAAAGTTGCAGTAAACAAAAAGCCAAGTTCAATCACTTGTTGATCTCCATGAGGCAATTTTAAAGTTGATGAGTTCTGATGATTAAAAATGGAGATTTGAACATTCTCTGTTGTATCATAGTGTGTAAGAAGCATCAGTATGATTTTAGAGTCATGTTTAATACTTGTTTGATTACAGAGGATAGGCCTTCTACTCACAGATAACAGTAATCTTGGCTCCTTTTCAGGCCTCTCATGTTTTAGACTCTAAAAAAGTAACATACAATAAGTGCAAAGCTTGATATCTATGTGATTCTTTGTTTCATTAAATGCAGTGTAGAGGAATTTAGCCAGTTTTTTAAATGGTCCTATCCAAACAGAGGAGGGAAGGTAAATATTATGGAAAGTTACTAGTCCAAATTTTGTTCAGTTATTCCTTTGATGATTCTACTTTTGGTGAAACAAGCGAAAGTATGAAGGGAAAAAAAATCCATGACCATTGATGTAAGCTATTTATTGATGTGAATTTAAACTCAGTTTCTTAAGGAGTTCTGGATATGTCAAAAGCATATCATGTTCTACAATGTAGAGCTCTTTTTCCCTTAACTGTTGAAGCTTATTTGGAAAATGCAAGTCTTTTTTCCTTGGTTGATGTCATCAGCTAGAGCTAGTGAACTTTTGGGTAAATAGAAAGATTAAGGAAGAATTTATTCCACAAAATCTTAAAAATCTATTATCTCATCAGTTTTGCTGTCAGTATCAGGAACTTTGAAAGAAGAGCAAGTTCCATTTGAATTCTTGATGTTGATGAACTGTTCAAAAATCTGTCCTGTATGAATGATATGACTGTGATTCTTGAAAAGTTTTCCATTTTCTGCCCTCAGATTACTTTAGATTTGCTGCTAGCCCCATGAAAAACAGAATGAAAATAGTATATAGAAAAAAGTGGAATTGCTATCAATATGCTATAAGAATGTAACTACCAAAATACTTTAAATGTTGGATACATTTTTATGGTTGTTTCAGTGTTTTTACAGATTATTGTGTTCATATCTTCAAACTTGCTTGCCTTCTGGTACTGCTGTGTGCCTGGACTATACTTGGATTATAAAAAAATAATGATATGCAGAAACAGTTTTGTAGTTTCTAGGTTATCACAAAATGTATAATCTGCATTATTCCTTGAAATTAAGTGCTATTTGAGCATTCTAAAATGGTGTTTATTATTATAGTTTTGTCTTTGTCTGTGGGTGATAACTTAAAATCAAGATCAAATATATATAATTTTATTATGTTAGTTTCCCAAAAGGTCATAGTCATTGTTCTATCTCTGAGTTGTTCTTGTTATTTTCATTTTTCAGCAAAAGAAAAAACCTTTAAAAGGCTACAAACCTTCATTGATATCTTATTTCCTGGTTTTGTAAAAGATTTATTTCTGATGTCTATTGATCTGTTCTGTATACCAGCTCTGGAGTATGCAAGTTAGCTCAGCTGCCATTTGGTGAACCCAGATTCATATTTTATTCATAAGTTTTATGACTGCGTGAACATGTGCTGTCTTCTATTGTTTTTTTGTGAGTGGTGGGATTTTAGTTCTATGGTTGGTTTTTTGTGGGTATTTTTTTGCAGTCCAGAGTGATGGCTGTTGCATCTGCTACATTTACTTCTTACAAGGGCCTCACTGAGTGTGGCTGTCTTTCATTGCATTCAAGCCATTTTCAGAAAAGTAATGATGCTGGTTTTAAAAATAAAATCTAAGTGGATTTGAACTAGAGTTTGTCCTTTCTATCCGTAGTCAGAATATAAACTACATAGCATAGAGATGAAATATCATGAGATAACTGTACACTGAATTTCTCTCTAACCCATATTGCTCTGATTGTCCTCTTTCCTATGCTGATCATGGTGCACAAGGCAGAAAAGCATCTCTTCCAAGCCTCAATTGGTGACCCGATCATGTTTCAGTTACCAGTGCTGATGTTTCAGCCCAGGGGCTGAAATTACAGCAAACCCACACTGTTTTATCCAGCCCTGGGATCAGAATTTACCTTAAGTTGGATGTGCAGTTACTATCTATATATGAGACATGTGTAGTCTTAATTTGTTTCTAAAGGTTTACTTTATTAATATATTGATAAATAGATCTTTTAAAAAACAAAGATAAAAATACATTTAGAATTGACATTTGAAATTATATTTAGAATTACTCGTGTCTGTATGTTTGTATCTATTATGTTATTAGCAGTTTAGTTTTAGAAACATATCTGAAGTTATTTTCTGAATTAATTCTCTGGACTGTTCTCCATGATGTCAGAAGAGATCTTAACTGTTTACTCCTGTTTTTATAGATGGCTATACAACAGATGACATTGAATTTTACTGGCGTGGGGGTGATAATGCAGTTACAGGAGTGACAAAGATCGAACTGCCACAGTTCTCCATTGTAGACTACAAGCTTATCACCAAGAATGTTGTTTTCTCTACAGGTTTGTGGAGGGGAAGCTAAACGGGAAATTCATTGGGAAAACTTTTAGAAATAGGTTAATTCTCAACATGCAGTTCAGGATCTGGGCAAAAATTTTAGAAACAGGAATAAATTAGGGCAGCAACTGTGAATTATGAAAGGAGCATTTTTTATTACAGCCTTCACAGTGTTATAAGGTATCACTCATTAATATATGAAGAGGATACAGTAGTGTGTCATGTTAAGGCTCAGTCAAATAAGCTGTATTTTCTATTTTCCTACGAAAACTGATTAAGCTACTTATACACCTCAGCACCCTAAGCCCAACAAGAAGTAACCCAGCCTGTAGGAAACTTAGGAAACTTTCTCTTTCTACTTCTACATGTTCGTAATACCAAGATGTGAATGTATTAGACTAATTATTTTTTCTGCTGTAAAACCTTTAAAATCCTTGTTCCACAGGATTTGTAGTTTAATGTATTCTAACAAACATATGACTTTCTGAAGGCTGAAAAGATGCTTTGTGAGGAAGAGTAGAAAATAAGATCAGATTTCATAAAATAAAAAACAAAGCAAGCAACAACTAGAACATTTCATGTTAAATCATTCAAGAGAGACAAGAATTGGGTTGGGCTATTAATATGTGATGTTCTCTACATACTTGAGAAAGCTGCTAGGTGTGTTAAAAAAATTTTCCAAACTCATTTTTTAGATATGGGGAGAAGTAATCTTTGGAGGGAGTACAGAAGAATTGCACATCCCAAATTCTTGGAAATCAAGCAGAAATGGGACTTGAATAATGGTCTCTAGGCACCTATTTCAACAAGTGTTTCATACACCAAAATATTTCTGGTGTCCAGTGACAAAGGGCAAGTGTTACATTGCTTGGAGAGAAGGTTAGAATCAGGATTTCACTGAAGTAGGCCTACTGCAGCTTGCCAGGGAAGAAGCATTTCTGTGCTTTCATGCTCTGAAATGTGTTTTGGCTGTTGATCGTTGAATATTATGATTACCAGCAGATATGCACCTAGAGCATTCTTGTACCCTTAGAATAAAAGATTATTTAATCCTAGTTCTTGCTAGAAATTCTGCAGCTGATTATCCTGGATCTTTCAACTCTGCGTGTACTCTGTGTTGCATGAAACAATAAAACCAAAATGACAGAAAAATGTTTTCAGGCTTTGTACAAGTAAATTATGTCCATACCAAATATTCTCTTTTAGGTGCCTACCCAAGGCTATCTCTCAGCTTTAAACTTAAGAGAAACATTGGTTACTTCATTCTGCAGACCTACATGCCTTCTATTCTGATCACTATCCTGTCCTGGGTTTCCTTCTGGATTAATTATGATGCTTCAGCTGCAAGAGTTGCTTTAGGTAGGCATTTTTACTCATCTCATGCAATGTGCATTAGCTGAATGCTTTTTCTTGCTTCTGGCTTAGTGGATAGTGCATGATTTGAAAAATAAATGTTAGATCTTTTTACGTTTGGCTTGTTAAGCTTTGTATTATCTGAATCAGCACTTAAATCATCACAATTTAAATAAAAATTAAAGTGATTTCATGTCTGAATTAGCTAACTCTATAATCATTGTAACTAGAATTAGCCTAATTGTCTCAACGTTTTCTGTTGTTTTACTGCTTGTTTTTCTCCAAAAAGAATGCATTTAGTTTGCTTTTGCCCATGGCAGTCCAGAATACATATTCAGCACTGTGTTATGGATTATAAATTGCTTTTCCTTTCAGGTATGAATTAAATAAAGTTTTACTAGAGCTATATAGCTAACGTCTCCTTAAGTTGAGGGCATTTTCCTTACTGTTACCTTACATTCTAAAAGCAAAACCATTTCCCTAATGAATCTCTAAAGTACTTTTATATCTCAACACTCATCCCCATGTATGTTTGTTTATACTGTGCCCCTCATCAGAGGATCCAAGCATGTTACAAAAATAAGTATGAGTATCTATTAACAAATTATGTATAAATCATACCGGTTCCTGCCAATATAGCCCTGGTATAGATAAAATAAGTAAATGACAATAAAATATACAATTGAGAAATTGACATTTTAACTTTTTAAAATACTGTCTGAGTTTTACCAGGTCTTTCTGTGTAGCATTTTCCTGTAAGAATTCAAGATTGCAGGCATCCTGAAAATGATGGAGGAAAGCAAGACAGCAGTAACTCCAGGCTTTTAATTTATAACTGAGAATCATTAGAGAAGGTTACAGTGTAGCTGGTTAAGAACATATTTATAGAATTGAACTACTGTTCGTTTGATTGAAGGCTTTTTATTGACAGGTGTAATCTTCTTTGATGTACAAAAAAATTAAAGACAAAGATAAGGAATATAAGCAGAGGCTGGGGATGGGGTTTTTTTCCACCAGCAAAAAAGTTTCCTAGAATTTTTCAACTCTAGCATTTGAATATTATGAGCTATCATGGTAGAAAATTAAAATTAATTCAATCAATAAGACTTGTCATATTTTTTTTTTCCAGGAATCACAACTGTGCTCACAATGACAACAATTAACACCCATCTTCGAGAGACTCTTCCCAAAATTCCATATGTGAAAGCCATTGACATGTATCTTATGGGATGTTTTGTCTTCGTTTTCATGGCTCTGCTGGAGTATGCATTGGTCAACTACATCTTCTTTGGCAGGGGACCTCAACGTCAAAAGAAAGCGGCAGAAAAAGCTGCCAGTGCCAACAATGAAAAGCTGCGAATGGATGTCAATAAGGTAAATTGAAATGGGGATATATTTTTAGCATTGCCCCAGGAAGGCAGACTTTCACTTCTGCCAGACAGAGCTTTAAAATGTAATTTCTTGTAGAAAATCAGTTGAGTGGGATTATTATGATCTTGTTTTAGCTCTGCAGAGCAGTGCATTTAGCCACCTCAGCAATGAATGCTGCCCTCTAGCCTGGAAAACAGAATGACTCTTTTTCTAAATCATGTGCTTTATTGCAAGATGTTTTCTCAGTCAGGATGTAGTGTTAAATATGTTTAATCTATTTCCAAAGGAACAAATCCAAAATGATGGCTATAGCTGATATTCTAGAGAAAGCTGTATGGAACAATGGAAGCCAAATCTAAATTTAATCTACTTTCATAAATCTTTCAGATGATCTAGATAAGAAATATTTACTATAGACATGTTTAAAGCTTGAAAAATTTGCATATTTTCAACTTATAATGGCCCATGATACTGTTGACTAACAGAGAAACTGCTCAGAAATAAAGCATCAACTTGCTGTGCACTTAATTTTCAATCTAAAAAATGGTCCCCTGGGGATGGAGAATTGAGGCAGAAAATACATTTGCCAGGATACACACTTTTGGAAAAAGTATCCGTTATGCTTAATGAAAAGGGGAGCACTTACCATAAAGCACTTGTCATTCTTCACTTTGACCATTTTGGATGAGTTTCACACAGTGGCAAATCTGGGCTGAATGCTTAAATGCACTCAGTGTGAAATGTATAAACTTTCACACACATGCAAAATTGGAAAGTTAAATAAAGTTAAATTATTTTATTTGGCAGGCAAAAATTTTGAATTTGTAATAAAAATCAGAAAAAGAAAATCTAAATCAGAAAAAAACCCCACGTGATTATTTGTGAAGTGGAAACGTGTTTCATACAGCTTTAGTGGTGGAATTTCTCAAGTTTGTTCAGAACTTCTACACTGCCATAGCGTGCCTGCAGACAGAAGAACATTTTGTTCCATTTTTGCTTGAAAACCAAAAAAATCCATCACATATTGATAGCATGAAACAGTTTTATAGGTTATAGTTTGTAGTCTTTTAAGATGGAGGATTATGTTGTCGTGGCTCAGATCTCACCCATTCACTAATCTTTTTTTTTTAATTTTATTTTAATTGGAGGGCAGCATGAATGAAGGAAGACGTGTAATGATGAGGTTGATTTTGATGTTATGGTACCACAGATCACATTTTACCATTGTAAAGTTGGTGGAGACTATAAAATCTTTTTATTTCTATTGGTGGTTTTTCAGCAATGCAAAAAAAGTTGCAAGCTTTTACTTAATTTATCAAGTTCATTTCTTACAAATCAGTTTCCCTTTAAACAATCAAAGCTATTAACTAAGAAACCCTGTAGGTAATTTTATTAAACTAGATCCGGGTTTGCATGAAGTCTTTCCTCTGACATCAATAGAAATTTAAGGTCTGTAGGTGTCAGATTGTCACCACTAGTTGAGGTATATTTTTGTATCCTGTTTCACTTGTATTTTCTGTATACTTATTTATACAATGGATCTTTCATCCATGCAACAGAATAGCAAAAGTCTAGTAGCAAATTGCTAATTATGAACTCGAATTTGAAAGCACTAGCTAGTGTATTAATCCAATCCAGTAAGCAGAGTAAACTAATTCCTATAACTGTTACAGAATTTCACCAGCCTACCGGATTAACAGAGTGTATACTAGGAAGAACTTTGCGTTATTTACATCTTTTTACAGTGAGCCTTTTGCTTAATATATCAGGCCAGAATGGTTCATAGTCTATGGCAGTTCTGCTCTGGTATCCAGATACACTCTGATCTGATAATCAGGTTTGCGATCCCTTAAGCAACAGATAGAGAATCAAATAGGAGAGGATCAGAAAAGAGTAGTGACCAGAGAACTTAGTCCTACTGCACATAGACTGCTCTGGGGAGGAGAAAAGAAGCTGACAGTTGTTCTTGCTGTTTGACCAGCAGCAAGAAAACAGATTCATATTTAATGGGTCTGACTGTTTTATTTATGAAAGTGTCCTGGTTTGGCTAGGATAGAGTTAAGGGGGACAAATAATTATTTTCATGTACAAGAAACAAAAATGGATCTGAACTGCCAAATTTGGTTCAGATGTAGGTTCCCATGGAAACCGAAATATTTTAGAAATGGGACCAAATGAACAATCTGTAATTAGGATCCAACATTGAAGGATTAATTTTATGAAGTATGAGTATCCTTTTGTGATATCACTAGTTTTCTCTTGTATCACTACATGGAATACTATGAATATCTTTTTGTGATTTCAGCTACTATGTGAGAAAAGATTAATGACATGAGTAATAAACCTCAAAACGTGAGGACAAAAACTTCTATACAACTCTGTTGCTGCATTCAACGTAGACATTTTTAAAAAAGATGGATAAATAGTTATTGAAACTGTTGCTTCTAGTACAGCATCTCTGTTTATACATTACAGACCAGCAAATCTGTACTAGATTTCTGCAGATTCCAATACCAATTTTTGTAACAGCCTCTTACAACTTTTCTGAACATCAAAAGGTGGTGAGAGGAGAAGTACTGATTAGTCCTTCCATCCACAACTGCTTGTGAAATCAAAGTAGAAGTTAATACATACTTCCTTTATGCTGTTGAATTCTCTGGTATGGAGAGATTCCAGGGCAGGAATTGGTAGTCTCTCTATTTTTTCTCAGTGTTATTCAGAAGATACTAGAAAGACTATAAAATAGTACAGAAGCACAACAGACACTGTTCTTCCATGACTCTGGTATCTGCTGAATCCAATGCAATCCTTTGGAGATTTGGTGACTCAGGAGGAGACTGTCCTGTTTTTTTCCATTTGAGCGATCACCATCAGGCTGGCTGCACAGCTTCCCCTGGGCTGTTTCAGGTGAATCTGTGGCCAAATCTTTCTTTAAATTTCATATTGTATTTATGTCATACACCCAATGAATGTGGTGGATTTGGTTTTGTGGGGTTTTTTTTTTTTAGAATCATGGAATAGTTCTGAGTTGGAAGGGACCTTTAAAGGCTACCTAGTCGAACCCTGCCCCTGCAGTAAACAGAGACATCTTCAACTAGATCAGGCTGCTCAGAGCCCTGTCCAACCTGACCTTGAATGTTTCCAGAGATGGGGCTTCTACCACCTCTCTGGGCAACCTGTTCCAGTGTTTCACCACCCTCATGGTAAAAAATTTCTTCTTTATATCTAGTCTGAATTACCACAGAGGATTGTAACTTCGTATACTCCCTCATTTTCAAAGATTGTTGGCTCTGTTTGGGGAAAGGGAAAGGAAAAGAATGGATTTGGCCTATATCTTGATTTCCTTCTTGAATTCTGAAACCTGAGTAATGGAATAATGGAAAAATTTAAAGGACATAAAACTCAATGAAGATTCAGACTTGATTTCCACTTGATACATTATCACAGACTTCTTAGATCATGTTGGACATGCTTAATTTTCTTTGCAGTGATTTCAGGTTAAAATGGCTGTGTGTATGATCATTCTGCTTTTGAAGCTTCTTAAGCTGCATTCGGCAGTTTATTGCTCTAGTCTAACTTGTCAACTTTTGCCTTTGTCAAGGCTAATTGTTCTCTCTGTAAACAGTCATATTGTTGCTTACAGGTAAATCATTGGCTTTCTTCTTACTCTAGACATCCTTCATTTATTGGAGATAGCATTCACATCATTTCCTCACCTCTCTTTTCAAGCCTGTCGTCTTATCTTACATTATTTCTTAAAATGCCTTTATTATCTTTATAGACATATAATCTCTTCAGTTTTAAGATAATGTGTCAAAGGCTTTACTGAAATCCATAACTTTCATTTGTTAATTCTGTAATTACATAAAAATGGTCTGGAAGGATTTGGTCTAGAAGCATCTGTGAGGCTTTTTTTTTCCTTCTAATTGTACATTTGGTTTTTGTTTCCCTTTGGGATAGATGGGGACAGGGAGAGTGAAACAAGCTATCATGATATATCCCTTCAAGTTTTCTCCTTTATGAAAGCCTGGCTTTGTCTTCAAGGAGATGATTAACTTACCCAGGTTCTCAGTGTAGAGCCTGGTACAGCTGTGAATACTTTCTGTTGTAGACCCCCAGCCACTTTAATATACTTAATTTCTGTTGTCGTACTTCAAATAATGAGGTTCTTGGTGCTCCCTTAGTACTGATTTATTCTCCATAAGTTTCTTCCAGAATCCAGGAGCCAACATGGTTTTGATTAATTTTAAAACTTTTTCTTACATTGTTGGATCAAATAATTTTACCTTGGATGTTTCCATCTTGGAACTGTGGCTTAGATAGACTTGCTGATGCTGATCACTGTAATGTGTCTGATGCATCTTCTAGGCTTTGTGTTGTTCAGGATTTGCAGTCTGATCACTTCCCAAGCTCTGTATTTTCAGCACATTTTCCTGTGTTACTAAATTCCCAGTCAACCTGCTGTTTATCCTGTTGTTACGTCTTTTGGATTGCTGGTTTTTCCACAGTTCCTCGTCTGACTCATTTGATCCAAACTACTACACACATTAATTGACTTCTCTGGAGGTGTAAGAAAGGTGAAAATGCTTTTCAATATCAATGATATCTGTGTTTTTGTTATTCTGGATAGATCAGAAAACCTCCCTTACAGCTATGTGGTAGTGTAATTGAAACCAGAACTGTCACTGTAAAGACCATGGTAAATGTACCAGGCTGAATGAAAGGCTGATTCTTCTTCCTCTGTAAAGTGCTTCTTGCATCTTGCCAGCTGTACGTTTGACAAGGGGCAATTCTAATGGAAAAGCAGCTTTATGCCGTCTTCTTCCAAAGCAACAGAGACTGGAAGTGTGTCAGGCAGCAGAGATGATACTCGCTGTGAGTACTGGTATCGGTTCCTACATCAAGGCTCTTGTTAAAAGCAGGGCTAGAGATCCATCTCTTGATGGAGCACCTTGTCAGTCTTTTCTTAGACATCAGTATGTTTTTTTTTTTACCAGGATATTAGCTAGAAA